TTTAACGAAACCTCGTCAGAGTTGATTTCAAACAAATTCAATAACTGTAGGCCATCAGGTACACACAAATCTCAATACACATCATGCAATATAATACTACAAGAAACATACCATTGGGATCCAAAGACTTGACCAATAGGTACTTGTTGTTGGGTTCATCCCTAGTAGGCTTTTCTATCTAGGGAGTACCTAGAACTCATCTAGATGAGATATAATTTGGTCTCATTCACTTTGAAAATAAGAACATATACAACCCAGGTCAGCACACACGCATCTTATACCATCACATCCAATGGCTAGAAAGGTGAATGAGACCAAATTATATCTCATCTAGATGAGTTCTAGCAAAACTATTCTATTTATCTCCGCTTAGTGTTTTCTCAACCTTTGTCCCAACTCGCCCCTCTCCCTCGTTGGTCAAATAGTGAAGACTGCGACAACCTGCATCAAAAAATGAATTCATTTCCTAGATTGGTGATGAACAACATCTAAATGAAGTCAATCAAAGTAAATCATCCATATCCCCTCTTTTTCTTGGATTGGTGGGGAGGCCGGTTTATGCACCATCATGTTTCACAAACATGCTGTGATAATATGTTGACAATATATATACTCATATCTTAACGCAAGCATCTTACATGGACATTTGAATTCATTATGTCCTTATTCAACCATACGTAAACACGCATCTAGTCTTACTATCATGGCCGGCCTAAGCAAGAATATATATCTGCATATTTTCTATCAACACAACCTTAATTAGCTTTACGCTTACAGTTTTGTACTACTAGCTAAGGGCCCCAACACTTGGTAGCATTTAAGTCAGGAGGATTGAGAGCTGACACACTATCTAGCTAGAAGAGGAGCACCCACGCAAGGAGAGAGACTATCGCCATGAGTGGCACCGGTGGGGCCACCGCCACCGCCTTCTCGAAGGTCAGCTGCCGGCCACCGATGTCATAGATCATGTTGGTGCCCGCCTGCAGCATGCTACCTAGGATGGAACCTAAAGGATAATCCTTGGGCATCGGCAGCATGGTGAGGCACTGGAACCCGGTGTTGGTGTCCTTGTAGAAGTAGTGCACCGTTGTGAGGTCCATCCCGGGTGAGTCCACTCCATCAAATACCAGAGTTATCTTGGGGAACTTGAGCTTGGCCACAGAGTTGGTGTCGTAGCACAGGTCCAACTCATTATTGCTTTTCACGGCCGGTGAGTCTATCTTGCTCATTAGCGCTTGCTTCACGGCATAGTAGGCGTCACTCTGGAGCCAGGTGAGGGCGATGGTGGTGCTCAGGGCCACCCCACCGGACTTGCCATCCGCCGCGAAGTCGAACGCTCGGTCCGGGATGCCTTTTAGCGACTCACCGTCAACCTTTATTCCGGTGAGCTTAACGTAGTACAAGTCCTGGTACACGTTGCTCTTTAGCAATGGTGTGGAGCGGCTATGTTTAGTCTGCGGCACGGCTTGGTCGCCCAGGAGGACCACGCTGGTGGAGCTCGAGCACTTGGAGTCGTCGGGTGTCAGGAAGTAGGAGAACCTGCAGATGCATGCACAAATCATGATTCAAAATTACCCCCTCGGTCCCATAATATAATATAAGAGTGTTTTTACATTACTAACTGGATTGAAGCTCTTGTAATGACAACCTTTATTTCAAAAACTTTTATAAAGTTTGGCCAAGTTTTATCAATAGTATATATCAACATCTAGAATGATTTTGATAGTTTTTTCTCTCTCTTATATATCTTATAACGTATATAATGTCACATAATAATGATGACGTTGGTAGTTTTTTTTCTCTCAACATAGAATCAGAACCTGGTGATGTGCAGCTGTGACAGGATGGAGAGGGGGCCCTTGCTGAACCCAATGGCACCGTCCCTCGCTGTGTTCTGGGTGCTGCAGCCGAACACCACGCTCCCGGAGACGGGCGACGTCCCGGTCCCAGCACCGAAGGTGAACTGCTCATAGCCGAGGTAGCCGGTGCTGTAGCTGCCATCGTCGGGTGACCCGTAAGCGTACAGGCAGCTGCTGGTTGTGTCGATGCAGTCGTCGTTAGTGGTCTTCCTGAGCACGCTGGAGCACGTGTCGCTCAGGCAGGGGACCGCGGAGAGCACTTGCGCCGGAGCGGGCGGGCACTGCACCAGAAAAAGTCGTTGGAGATGTCGACCACGCCGGAGAAAGTCTGTTGCCCGACGGTGACGTGGTAGAGTATGATGCCGGCGTCGTCCGCGGCATCGGAGCCCAGCTGGCCGCCCTTGTTGGAGCTGCGGAGGGCCTTGGTCAGGGCGGACGCGCCGGCGCTTGCTACCTCCTTGACGATGATGCTCGCGATCCTTTTCATCATAGGCGAGCGGACGATTACCCCCACCACCGCCCCCGCCACAGACAAGGCAGGCGCCGGCAGGAGCAGGAGCAGCAGCAGCGTCATGGCGACCACGCCGCTAGCTCTTCTTGCTGCTGGCCGAGCCATGGTGGTCACAGGACTGAAAATGCTAGCTAGCGTTAACTTAAGTTTGTGTAATGGTTGCGTATATGAAGCGTACGGGAAGTTCTTATAAAGCAGAGGTTGTAAGGGATTTGTTCTTTTGACGGTTTCTAAACCAATAATGCATGTGCCCGTCCGTCCTCGTAGTCCATAAATAAGATAAGCATGAATGAAAACTGAAGCAATTTACAGGTTTCTTTGAAAAGGTGGGCATATATCCCGGTCTCTGCAACCAAGTGATGCACACAACCGAATTTTATTGCACATTTATTTGAAGAATAAAATGTGCCACCCACTCCCTAGCGGAAAATAGCCGGTATAACCGGCCGCCATCAGACAATTGCGTCCAAAATCCGTATGTATCCACTGTTCCACTAGTAGGAGGAAGGATTCAATATGAAACTGTGCGGATAACCTGCAAAAAATGCGCGCAAGTCCAAAAAACCTTTGTCGCAATTTGGTTAAATGACTAGTTCTTGAGACGGAAATAGCTTTTTGATTCCTACACCAGTGGTGTTTGTTTCCATCTATCCTTCCAAACAGCAGCATGATGAGTTCCAACCGTCAGCAGCATGATGATGACCAACCGTCACATGTATGTTAAGATTAACATAAGTTTGTTGTGACCAATAACATGCGCTGATGAAGTATACAATGAATCCTCTCGAGTTGACAAATGACTTGTTCGGCTGGAAGGTATTTTCTAACGGATACACAGCTGATTAAAAATCCCCGCCGCCCCTGCATACAAGTTGCACAGAGTGAAAATTCATATATTTATTTCCCGCAAAAAAAATTTCATATATTTATGTACGTGCATATTTTAGTTTGTTGCTCGATCATCCACCAGCTGATTAAAATCAGGCACCAAAGTCTCAGTCCCTAATTCAAACATATATGTGTTGGTTAGATGGAGAGGCAACACAGTAGTTATATGGAAGAATCCACGCGTATCCTCGATCACACACATATTTTTTGGAGCATATTCTTATTTTTCATTGACATTGTGCAATTATTGACTAGTACCGTAAGATACTGAATTTGCGTGTCGGCCAGCTCCTAGGACATGAAGAAGATGAGAGACACAGAGAGTGGATTCAGTAACCACTCAAAATGTGGGAACTGCAGAATTATTATTGCTAGCAGCCTAGTAGTACTACTGAAAAGGGCACCATATTATTTGAGTAGAACAGCACCCTGATCTTGCGATGGAAATCTATAGCTAGGATTTCACCACACAGACGTGGCTGAGCAATGAAGCCAATAATTAAGGAGTAAATTCTCATAGAAGTCTCCCTAACCACTCCATCCGTACCTTGAGATCCACCTTAAAATCTCAACGTAACGCTGCTGCCCCAACCAGTAAGCTGGTCCTAGGGTTTTCCCGCCAAAACACACATCCCCAAAATATTACTGACCAAGAAGCCCGCAAGGTCACCGGCAGATCCAGCCCCGTCTGGCCTAAATCAAGCACCCATCCGCACGGACCGGGATGGTGTGGCAGCAGTAGAGCGACGAACGCAATGGACGCGGCGACCAAATAACGACACGCGCTCCCACTCTAAGAAGAATTTCGAACTTGCAATCAGTTCCACGCAACTAGTTGCAAAATAAATTCGCATCTTGGTGCAAATGTAAAATTAAAATTAAGATAGGTTTCCCGCATCAAACCTTCGGTAGATTGTGAAGCCTCAACTATAGTAGGTTCTATCGACAGAAGAGTTGACAAAGGACTCAGTCTTTGCTGGCAGAAACAACTTGTGCACTTTTAAACCAATTGCGTGTCCATCCACCCATCCAAATTGCATGCGCAATGAGAGTGAAAAGTAATATGTTTATGTACATACTCCCTCCGTCCTTGAAAAAGTGTATTTCCAATTTTATTGGAGAGTCAAACTTTCTTATGTTTGATCATATTTATACAATAATACACCAACATTTATGACATCAAATTAGTAGCATTAGATTCATAATAAAATATATTTTTCATCATATACCTATTCGTTTTCACAAACATTGATATATTTTTTCACAAACTCGATCAAAATTTGAAATAGTTTGACCCTCCAACAAAGTTGGAAGTACACTCTTTCAAGGACGGAGGAAGTAGTTAAGAGGTTGGCAGTTGACCTATGATTGTCAGATGATGAGAGTCTTCTAACTAATTACAAGTGGTCGTCAAAGTCTCCATCACGCATATAGTATATATTTTTGGAACTTGCGATTTTGTATTGATAGCAGGGTAGAACAAAGACGTGCAGTTGCTATATTCTTCCTTTTCATTGATTTCGGTCAAATATTGACTAGCACTCTGTATAAGACACTGAATTACCGTGCCACCACGTTGTTGCCACCTCCAGCTCCTAGGAAATAACAATTCCTTCTTAGTAACCACATGGTGTATGTGATAAGCAACCTTAAAACAAACAATATCAAAAAGAATCCTTCTTAGGGAAAAACAGTACTACCTCTAATAACATATCAAAATTCTCGCATTCTTTGTAGAGTCATCATCTCTTGAGGGGTAAGATCATAAAGCGTGGGCCTCCTAACTTTCTGCTTTTGGATGAATGGGTGATCCATGTTTCAATCTTGTGATTCACATGCTCGCATAACTTTCCGTTTCCAGCATCGATGTGCATTTCTTCAAGAACCGTTGCATTCTTAGCGAAGAATTTGACGAGCTTCATACCGAGACAGTTGGACATCTCCGGCCAGAATTGCAAGGCCACTCTCCTCAGCGAGCTCTGCAAGCATTCGAAGGAGCGTCGGCTCAAGCCTGGGATTTCAGGTACATCGTCATAGGCAACACTGATGGTTTCTCCATCTCCTTCCGAAGAAAAGGAATCGTCACAACGGTCGAAACGATCCATGGACTTGTTGCGGTCGTGTTGAAATTTCCACTCCAAGAATTCAGTAATGTACCATTCTTGTTTGTAGGCATCCTCGTTATCCGTGGTGAGGTTGATCCTGAGGTCACGGAGTGCATTGCTACAGCGGAGCAGGTTTGCAATGGCTGCCGCCGCTGTCTTGCCTCTCCCCCTATGCACCCCTTCCAGCTCGAGGTACTCAAGGCGGCGGAAGGCCGGCAGGAGCTCGACCCGCCTCGCCTCGTTGAGCACGGCCACATCCTCAAGGTGGTTCAGCCGTAGATTCATCTTCTTGGTGCTGGTGAAGCTCCCAACGAATCGCCAGAAGCTTTCAAGGTTGCCGCATGGATCCATGTTCCTCTTTTTTCCCGGGAAAAAATGCAGGTGCACCTGGTCCAACTTCGGTGGCTGTGGATTGAATGTGAATGGCCGGAGAAGCCCCATGTACCGGAAGCGACGCAGCCTCGGTGAGTCGATCTCCACCGCGATGAGGGGTGTGGTCTTGTCATCGGCGTAGTATCCGTGGTGACGGCGGCGCCTCAGGTTCTCATCCTCCTCCCACTTGCAGCCCTCGAGCGCGAGCACAATGGCTGCTGGGCATCGGAGGCGGCAGCGTGCAGCCTGTTTGGGGGCCGGGAGACCGTCGTAGCCCCAATCCGGGGCGGCGTCGCATTGTGAAGTCGCGTCGTCTGTCACTTTGATAAGGACGGACTCAAGGCGGACCACGGTGAGTGTCGGCGCGACGTCGATGACTTTCTAAAGAGATTCAAGGTACTGGGTGCAGTGCCGGAGTCGTAGCGATGATAGCCGTGGGAGCATGACCGCGGCGGCGTGGGTCGGCATGTAGAGTCCCGAGCAGTTGGTGAGATCGAGCATGTGGAGGTTATTGGACAGCAGGGAGTCCAGGGTGAGGGTGTATACACCCACCCGATTCTAGCAGCAGATCTCGCCGCCGTGGTACGTGTCGCTGCTCCAGTCATTGGTGACGAACGGGAGCTCCTCGATGCAACGCATCGCCTGGTGGGAGAGCAAGACGGCGATCATGTTGTGGTCCCGGTCGGACCACCTCCGGTTGTCTTCATCAGAGCATGGTTAATAATATAGCCAGCTGCTGGCTATATGATGTTGCCATGTCACATATAGTCAAGCTTATAGCCAACAAATACAATAGCTAGATATAAATATGTACTCCTTTTGTAAACTAATATAAAAGCGTTTAGATTACTAAAGTAGTGATCTAAACACTCTTATATTAGTTTACGGAGGGAGTACTACTTTATTGATACATGACCCATCCCACTCTCTCACAAAGTATCTAGAAGCACGTGCTGCAGCCAGCTATTAACTAGTAGTCCGCTTCTCTTCTTTCTCCTCTTCTCTCTCTTCCAAGTAAGCAAGAATATAATATTTAATGTCTTACAGTCTGCCTACATCACCTTATTGTACTTGCTCTCATGGTGCAGGAACTCGTCGACCGGTTTGTCGCGCTCGCGCTCGGACTCGAGGCGCAAGGTGAGCCTCGTGACGTGCTGGGCGCCGTCGAGTGCCGCCACGGCCGTGGAGAGGAAGGCGTCGCGGCGGGAGAAGAAGAGGGCCTTGTGTTCTTCACGATAACCGCCATAGCGGTCGCGGTACTCGTAGTCCTGGACGCGCGTCTGGAAGTTTACGGCGCCCGAGGAGCGCCAGAGCGGCGTGCGCCAGCGCCGCGAGAGCGCGGTCGTGGAGGCGGCCTCCTTGGCTGGGGCGAAGCGGAGGATGCACCGGAGGAGGTAGTCGGGGAGGTCGAACAGCCGGTCGCGGTTGGCCATCGTCTAAACCGTCGGCGGCGATGCGATGATCTGCCGGTTTCGAGTTTAGGTTTGATTCCGGTTTGCCGATCGGACGAGGGTATTTCGACCCAGCCGGCTAGGTACGACACGCACACACCACCATATGGGAAAAGGCTTTGTTCCCTTCGGGCTCGGAGGCTAATTAAACCCAACACTAATAGATTTTCACTAAAACACACGTAACTCTATTTATACCTTTTTTTGCGTGTAAACTCTATCGAAATCACTAATTAAGAAGTATTCCTTGCGGAGATCACTCCAACTTACTCAGGTTGCGACAAGTGGCGCGTTGCATGTGCGCCACTTGTCGCAACCTGGAAGTTTTCCCTTTTTTCGTATATTTGTTTATTCAAAATGTTTTATCTCTTAAACCGTGCGTCCAAATCTCGAACCGCTTTCGCTATTGGATTCCTCGCGTCGAGATCTTCAAAACTAGATCCCATGTTGATAGGTTTTGACGAACTTTTTTCACGAAAAAACCGGACGAAAAAACCGAACCGGAAACACGGGTTTTTGTCCCTTTCCGAAAGAGGCACGCCCGTGCCTCTGACGAAAGCACAACCATGCCTCTGGCGGAAGCAAAACCGTGCCTCTCGTGAAAGAAAAAAAAGAAAAAACGTGTTTTTTTCCTTTTCCGAAAGAGGCGCGCCCGTGCCTCTCGCGAAAGCACAACCGTGCCTCTGGCGGAAGCAAAACCGTGCCTCTCGCGAAAGAAAAAAACAGAAAACACGTTTTTCCCTTTCCGAAAGAGGCACGCCCGTTCCTCTCGCG